GTGTGTGTGTGTGTGTGTGTGTGTGTGTGTGTGTGTGTGTGTGTGTGTATATGAAATTTAAAAACTACTAGTCAAAATAACAGTTTTTAGGGACATCTGGCTGGCTCAGTCAGAAGAGCATGTGATTTGATCTCAGGGTTGTGAGCTTAAGCCCCACATTGGATGTAGAGATTGCTTAAAAACAAACAACAAAAATACTTCTTAGATTGTACTAGGCAGATATTTAACTGAAACAGACTAACCTTCAGGAAAATCAACCATGAAGTACAACCTACATATAAAATACTATTTGCAGAAGGGAAATTAGGAACACCTGGGTGACTCAGTGGGTTAAGTGTCTGCTCAGGTCATGATCTCACAGTTCATGAGTTTGAGTCCTGCGTCAGGCGCTGGGCTGACAGTTCAGAGCCTGGAGCCTGCTTCATTGGGATTCTGTGTCTCCCTCTCTTTCTGCCCCTCCCCTGGTTGCGCTCTATCTCTGTCTCTGTCTCTCTCTCAAAAATAAACACTTAAAGTTTAAAGAAGATGGGAAATGAAAACGGGAGAGGGGTGGTACCTGGCTGGTTCAATTGGTAGAGCATGTGACTCTTGATCTCAGGGTTGTGAGTTTAAGCCCCACATTGGGCATGGAGCCTACTTAAAAAAAAAGGGTGGGGGTGATATCTGCCAACTATTACAGGTTAGTTACTTAAGAGTGATACAACAATAAATGATCAAAGGTCTGTTATCCTCAGACCTTCAAAGGTACTCATGAGGAAAGAAAAATAGAATAGGTTTATAAATTGAGATCCAGGTATACAATGGTAAACTAAAAAAAAAAAGCTTGAAATTTCCTGGGCCACAAGTCTCAAATTTATTTCATAGGTTTATATTTACATATGTATATATATAAATAAGATCTTCAGTAATAAAGCCACATTTAATACCTGAATTTGCAATATGAAGCAAGATATATTTTCTCAAGGACTTTTCCAGTAGTTGCTGATATGCGAAATAGCCAATTATGTGCAGTCAGTGCTATGAGTGAGGATTTATAATCTGATGGATTGGGAAGTATTTCCCCCTAAAAAAATAAATAAATAAAAATCAAGGCGTAAAAATGAAACTGGCTGGTCATGAACAATCTGCAGTAATCTATGTCCAAAGAAAATAGCTAAAACCTTAAAGAAACAGCTATGTAAAACCAAAGAGGAAATATTAAATGTACAAATAGAGAATTAAGACAAGGAAAGAAAAGACTGTAGGTTATTATTTTCATCATTAACTTACTGAGTTTATTCACATAAAGTGCTTAGACAGTACCTGAAATAATTTATTATTTATTGTTATTTATCATTAAGTAATTCAACAAGTGTAAGCCAATCATCATCATAACAACAACAGGAGTATTACTAACAATGCTGTTGTGATAACAATGATAACAACAATAACAGTTCTTAAAACCGTAAGAATTAATAGTCTTCTGCTAAAGGGGCAGCTGGGTGGCTCAGTCAGTTAAGCATCTGACTTAGACTCAGGTCATGACCTCCTGGCTCATGAGTTCGAGCCCTGCTGACAGCTTAGAGCCTACAGCCTGTTTCAGATGCTGTGTCTCCATCTCTCTGCCCTTTCCCTGCTTGTGCTCTGTCTCTCTCTCAAAAATAAACATTTAAAAAAATTTAAAAAACAATAAAAAGAGTCATCTGCTAGAATAGATATTTCTTTGTTCTAAGACTTGTCTTTTTGACAGAAGTCAAAATGGCAAGAGGGCAAATTGTTCCATGATTCACTGCAGCTCTACTCTTAACCCAAATGAAAAGCTAGAATGCAGAATCAAGGCAGCCAAAGAAAAACAGAAGATGGACCTGGTTTTAAAGATATCCTCTGTTGGTGGCTCGGTTGGTTAAGTGTCTGACTCTTGATTTTGGCTCAGGTCATCTCATGGTTCATGAGACTGAACCCCATGTCAGGCTCTGCACTGACAGCGTGGAGCCTGTTTGAGATTCTCTCTCTCCCTCTCTCTCTGCCCCTTCTGTGCTCTCTCTCTCTAAAATAAATAAAATAAACTTTTTAAAAAAAGATGCCCTCTGTTGTTAGTGCATTACCCCCCAAAAAGGGAGGTAATGGCTATTTGGGCATACCTGCCACTGATCAGCTGCCACAAGGTGGAAGTCTAAGGCAGGAAAAGAAAGAGAAGCAAAGAGTTCTACTTTAATTTGTAAAATAAAAAGGAAGTTCTTGGGGGGCGCCTGGGTGGCTCAGTCAGTTAGGCTTCCTAAGCTTCCCACTTCAGCTCAGGTCATGATCTCAGGGTTTGTGGGTTTGAGCCCCACGTCAGGCTCTCTGCTGTTAGCACAGAGCCCACTTCAGATCCCCTGAATCCCTCTCTCTTTGCCCCTTTCTGGCTTGCACTCTCTCTCTCCTGCTCTCAAAAATGAATAAACATTAAAAAGAAAAAGGAAATTCTACAACAAAAGTTAAGAATAGGGAAGTTAAAATTAATCTACTATTTGCGTTGGCTAAAAAGTGAATAGAAAAGAATAAAAGCATAGGTATTTTATATATGGTTTTAAAGATTTGTCTTTCCTTTCAGTTTCTGTGTTTGTTTCTTGGTTGTGTGTGTATGTGTGTTTAAGTTTAACTACTGGAAGTCTTACACTAAAATCACATATAATGATGTAAACATTTTTAGTCTGTGGTGTCTTACATAAGTATCACCTCCTGGAGATTTTTTTTAATGTTTATTTATTTTGAGAGAGAGAGAGAGAGAGAGAGAGAGAGAGAGAAGAGTGTGTGTGTGTGTGTGTGTGTGTGTGTGTATGCAGGAGAGGCAGAGAGAGAGAATTCCAAGCGGGCTCTGCACTAACAGTGCAGGGCTTGATCTCACAAACTGTGTCATGACCTGAGCTAAAATCAAGAGTTGGATGCTCAACTGACTGAGCTACCCAGGCACCACTCACCTCCTGGAGATTTAAAAAAAAAAAGAATTGGAAGCAGCATATATAATAGGTTTGAGGTATTTTCCTCAACCAAAAGTTGCATTTCACACATTGTCTCAGAAAAGGGTGCTAATTTATTATTTTTTAATTAAAAAAAAAATTTTTTTTTAATATTATTTTTGAGAGAGAGAGAGAATGCAAGCAGGGTAGGAGCATAGAGAGAGGGAGACATAGAATCCGAAGCAGGCTCTAGGCTCTGAGCTGTCAGCACAGAGCCCAATGCGAGGCTCGAATCCACCAATGGGGAGATCATGACCTGAGCCCAAGTCAGATGCTTAACTGACTGAGCCACCCAGGTGCCCCTAAAAGGGTGCTAATTTAAATGTAGTTTCACATCAATATGTTAACAACAATAAATGATAACCTTCTTAGTTTTTCTTAATGGAAACTCTTGCTTAACTTCAAATGAGAAGAAAATGTTTAAAGAGAAGTGAGAATAGGAATTATATTACTAGAAACTCTATTTTTTCAAGGATTGCTCTAAATTTTTTGTGTTTTTATACTGTGTCTTCAAAACTTTTCTCAATTAAGAAATCTGTCATCCTTGGGGTGGTTGGGTGGCTCAGTTGTTTGAGCGACCCACTCTTGATTTCAGCTCAGGTCATGCTCTCAAGGGTTAAGTGAGATTGAGCCTCACATGGGGCTCTGCGCTGACAGTGAGGAGCCTGCTGGGGAATTTCTCTCTCCCTGTCTCCCTGCCCCCTTCCCTGCTGTCTCTTTAAAAAATAAATCAATAAACCTAAAAAAAAAAAAATCTGTCACCTTCCTCCCCCAACCAATGAAAACAGATTAAAAGGCTTTAGATATTGGGGCACAACAGTTATTTTCAGCTTTCAGTAAGAAATTGGGGAAGAAAACAGATTTAAAACTTTCTGATTTTTAAAAACATGTCTCTTTTTAAAAAGAATAAGTGTAGGGGCACCTGGGTGGCTCAGTCGGGTAAGCGTCCGACTTCAGCTCAGGTCATGATCTCACGGTCCGTGAGTTCGAGCCCCGCATCAGGCTCTGTGCTGACAGCCCAGAGCCTGGAGCCTGTTTCAGATTCTGTGTCTCCCTCTCTTTCTGACCCTTCCCCATTCATGCTCTGTCTCTCTCTGTCTCAAAAATAAATAAAGGTTAAAAAAAAAATTAAAAAGAGTAAGTGTCTAAGGGAAAAGAAAGCAGCAGCTTTGGAAAACTACAATTTTATGTAAAAACAGTAGTCTTTGACAAAAGAGAATTTTAATAGTAAATTCAAAGGATAGCTTCTTTTCTTTTAAACATTATTTTTGGTCACATATTTTAAGTTCTATTTTTCCTAAAAAACAACCAGCCAGATTCAAAAACCTGATTAATTTGCTACAGTATGTCATAAGTACAGTTCTTAAAACACTGATCCCATGAAAAACTAATATGTAGAAATATACCTCAAAAAAGGAAGTCCTATAATCAAGAGTTTCAGAAAATGGTTTGATAATCACTGTGAACATTAGTATTATCGTAAGTATTATTAAAGGCTCTGAGAAGTAATTCTATAAATAAACTTGTTTAGCCTTTTAAACTCAGAACATTCCAAACTTATTTTGTGTACAAGTCAATTCTCTCAACTCCTCTAGCAAGTAGAAGATGCTATTTATGAAAACACGGTTCTGAAAAATACACATCAGGGCAATGTTAGTCTGTCTGATGGAGTGAGCTTATCTTATTATTTTATTTTATTTTGTATTACTTTTATTATTTTATTTTTTATTTTTGACTTAGTATTTTCCTAACAAGATTCACGGAGGAAACTTGTAAGTCTACTTTCACAGAGCCATGTGACATAACTGCTGTCCTAAATAAATATCTTATTTTGATAGAATGATCTCTTAAATCAGTAGAATGATCTCTTAAACACTGAGGATAACTCTAAACTAGCTTATATTGCTTGCAAAACTTTTAATCAGTTCATAACTTTTTTCTAGTTTTTAAGATTTACAAATAGCATCAAAATTTTAAAATACATTCATAATATTAATATATAATTTTTTAAGATATAAGTTATTTCCTGAGGGAAAACAAGCAAAGGATACACTCTCTCTTCTTGACTCCATTCACGATTCAGGAATCACTATGATATTAAAGCTTTATTCCTTTATACTACATATCAACAATGATCAGTTCTTTTAAGCAAAAAATGCATTAGAAACAAATACTCTAAAAATAAATCTTACCACTGGGCATTCCCATAATAAAGCATCCTCTATTTTTTCTGATTTGGAACATTTTGGCATTTCATAAAGTTTTCTTGGCTCTGATGCAACACTGGGAAAAAAGAAAAATGAATGATTATTCTTCTTATTCAATGAGACAGTGTTGGCTCAGCTTTGAGTGATCTATTCTATTTAGAGATTTGGAATACCAAGATACAACTTGCTACTTTGTCTTCCTTTTCTTAACTAAATGTTAACATTTTTTTCCTGATCACATAATTCAAAAGGAAATTCACTGGAAAAAAATCTGAAAAATACAGTAACATAGATCAGAATACTATAAAATTATAAAAATAACCATTATTAACATTTTGGTTCATTTTCTTCTGGTTTTTCTTTATATACATATACTTATGTGCAGATTATTTTCCAAAGTTGGATCATACTGATTTCTTTCTTTAACCCTGAATGATTACGGTGAATATCTCTGCTGAATTCCATGGCATTCATAAACTGTTAGTCCAATATTGTAAAATGAAAATTAGATAAAAAGAGTCCTTTTATTTTAGAATGAAAATTAATAGGTTAAAAAAGGAAATACCTTTAAGGTGTTGTTTTTTTTTTTGTTTTTTTTTTTTTTTTCAACTTTTTTTTTGTTTGTTTGTTTGTTTTTTTTTTTTTTTAATTTATTTTTGGGACAGAGAGAGACAGAGCATGAACGGGGGAGGGGCAGAGAGAGAGGGAGACACAGCATCGGAAACAGGCTCCAGGCTCCGAGCCATCAGCCCAGAGCCCGACACGGGGCTCGAACTCCCGGACCGCGAGATCGTGACCTGGCTGAAGTCGGACGCTTAACCGACTGCGCCACCCAGGCGCCCCTGTTTTGTTTTTTTTTTTTTAATTCCCAAACTGCCTTTCAGAAAAATTGAACAAGTTTATACTTCTGCCAGTATTGAAACTACAATTTTTAGGTGAAAAATAGTCCCTTATTTTTAATTTATACTTCTCTGATTATTACTGAGATATGATCATAGATATTTTCCTTTTTTTTAACTGATGTACTTTAAAAATAAGCTACTATTTAAAAAAAATATTTTTACTGCTTGTATTTGAGAGAGAGAGACAGAGTGCGAGCAGGGGAGGGGCAGAGAGAGGGGGAGACACAGAATCTGAAGCAGGCTTCAAGCTCTGAGCTGTCAGCACAGAGCCTGATATGGGGCTTGAACCCAGGAATGCGAGATCATGACCTGAGCTGGAGTCTGATGCTCAGCCAACTGAGCCACCAGGCACCCTGAAATGTATATATTAACAAAGGGAGAAGCTTCTAGGTTGGTGAACACATGGACATTCAGGGAGAGTAGTGTGCTCAAAGAGCATGGATATTCCATGCCCTTTTGCATGTAACTTGCCTATGCAACTCTTCCATCTGGCTGTTCTTGAATTATATCTTTTATTATCAACTGGTAATCTACTAAGAAACCAATCACAAAAGACACATACTATGTGATTCAATTTATATGCAATGTCCAGAACAGATGAATCTATAGAGACAGAAAACAGACTAGCACTTGCTTAGGGCTGAGGATGATGTGGGTATTGGGGCACAATAAACTTTCTTTTTGAGGTGATGAAAATGTTCTAAAGTCAACTGTAGTGTTGGCTGCCTATATGAACCACAAGGGTTCACCAAAATTCCTATCACTGGATGAACATTCAATGAACTAAATATCATCAAATTGTATACTTTAAATTGGCAAATTGTATAGTATGTGAATTATATCTTTTAAAAAATGTTTATTTATTTGTTTTTGAGAGAGAGAGGCAAAGAGAGAGGGAGACAGAATCACAAGCAGTCTCCGCACTGTCAGTGTAGAGCCTGACATGGGGCTCGAATCTAGGAACTGAGAGATCTGACCTGAGCCAAAATCAAGAGTCAGGTGTTTAACTGACTGAGTCACCTAGGCACCAGTGTGTGAATTATATCTTAATCAAGCTGTTAAGAGAAAGAAAATGTCTAATATTTTTTATAGAAGCAAAGCATGGTGTTTAGAATATGCTTTAAAATACTTCGTAAAAAGATAAAGGAAAAGTGAGCAATGGCATAGATAAGCAAATGCAGCAAAATTTGGATTATCTTTGAATTTAGGTAATTAGTACATGGGAGTTCACTACACTATTTTCTCTGAAGCATGTTCGAAAATTTTCTCTTAAAGAAAGGCAAGTGCTTCCAAAACAAAACATAGAACTTCTTCCCAGGGCACGTAGGTGGCTCAGTCAGTTAAGCGTCCAGCTTCAGCTCAGGTTATGATCTCAAGGGTTGAGAGTTCGAGCCCTGCGTGGGGCTCTGTCACGCCAGCTCAGAGCCTGGAGCCTGCTTCAGATTCAGTCTCAGTCTCTCTCTCTCTGCGCCTCCCCACTAGCATACTGTCCTTCTATCTCTCTCAAATATAAACATTAAAAAAAATTTTTTTTATTTAAAGAAATTTTTCTCTAAAGCAGCATATAATTATTAGATACCTGACTTCCTTGACTCTGCCGTCTTCTAAGCAGAATAAAACACTACACCATACTCTGAGTAACCTATCATTTTGCCTGCACTATAAAGTAAATTCATTTTAAATTGGTACTTGCAAAGATGAAACCTCTAACTTTGGGTTTAAGAAGATTTTAAAATTATACCCATTTACCACCTACTCTTCTTCTGGGCTCATTTTTCCATTCTCCTATTTCATTAAACATTGATAAAGCATGTGGTTCTATAAAAATGAGTCAAGATCAACAGTGAGGTGAATTACAGGAAAAACGTTCACCAAGATACCTGCTGACACAGCACCGATAATTGTCAAAATATATTCTTCCTCTCTCATAGGCTATAGGTGACTTGGAATGAGTTGTCCAAACATTCTTAAATTTAGTACTTTCCTGAAAGACACAAGGAATTTTGGTTTAGGAAATAACTCATAAGTCTCTACCCTGCAGCAATATTAAGTGGGATAATTAAATCTACAGTTTTCAAAGTAATTCCACGTACGTTATTTAAAACATGCTCATTTCTCCCTCACTCTGTCCGCACGTTTTACGCGGTGTGACCAAATTTTAGGAAGACCGTTTGCAGGAAGACATAAGAAGCTTAAAACTAAAAGCATACGGTGGTTTACTAATTCCCCAGGTTCAGGGCCTGGATACCCCTGTCCATCACCTGTGATCTTCTTAAAAGGAAGCGCTAACGAGTAAAAACTGCACCCCAGCAGGAGGCTTAGCCGCCAGTCGCCCCTCTGCCCTTGGCCCCATTCCCAGCAGCCGGCGGTCACCTGGCACACCAGCACCCGCAGGATGCCCAGGTTCGTCCTCTGCACCACGCCTGCGTCCCGCGAGAAGAAGCCCAGCGCCCGGCGGCTCAGCTGGCGGCACACGTTGGGTTTCTGAGTTGGGCCCATGGAGGCAAGGGCCGGGGGCGGGGTTTGCTGGGCTGAAGAGGGGCGCGCCCCTCGCTTCCGCGCCAGGTAGCAGCCGTTACCTTTGAACCTCCAGGCCCCAGCTCATCCAGGGGCCCAGGAAAAGCTGACGCGGGGAGCCGGGCAGGGAGCGCACGGCGGTGGGGGGAGGGAAGGAGGGGTTGGCGCTGCCTGAGCGCAGAGTGAAGGGAAAGATACCCCTCTCGGCCTGCCACTCAAACACTCTGCAAGTCTGGACCGGGCTGCGGACAGTGCGACGCCACCGCAACGCGCGGCCTGCCGGAGCCGTACCCTCCTCACCCGGAGATGTAGTTCCCAGAGCCCTTTGAGGGAACCTGGCTCTTTCCCAGAACTACAATTCCCATCAGGCGGCGGGAGGAGAGCTCTGGTGCCGGCCCCGCCCCAACCAGCCGAGACCCCGCCCAGTCCCTCTTCCTCTGGCGGCGCCGGGGCTGCGCGGTGGGGCTCGCCCCCCTTTTCCGGGTCTGCGTACCCAGCGGGGCAGAACCCTAGGGGCGCTGTGTTGCCGCCTCCTGGTCTCGCTTAGCTGTGTAAACCTTGCCGCCCGGTTACCCTCGAGTCTCTCAGCTCCCGACTTTCGCTCTAGGAGGCCCTAGCCGAGCGCCGGGAGGGGCGCTGTGTTGAAAGCCACCCCCCCTCTTTCCAAAGCAGTGTCCTGTGCTAAAGGTACGGCCCGCGGCTTTCCCTTCAGTCGCACGTTGGACGTTGTGGATGAGGTTGACGGTTAAACATTTCGGGTCTAGAAGCACAATGCTGTTGTAGTAGGAGTTAGTGGTGGAAGGTGCTGGCATTCCCACCAAACTAGGATTGACTTACTTTCTCCTTTTGTGGCCTGCGGGGACACAAGGCTGGTTTTGCGATAATTGCTGCATTTTACTTCCTCTCGCCTCTTTTTTCTCTTCTTTTGCTAATAAAATATGAAATGTTTACATTCTTAATGGACTGTAAGATACTCCACGTTGATTCCTCTAAGTAAAAGGTAACTTGGTCGCCTACCCCTGCCTATAGGGTCAAAGTTCCCCCTACACTACATTTTCCGTAATCACGCACTACATGTGCCCCCGGGGATTGCTTTGCAAGTCCGTTAAGGGTCGTGTCTTTGCGTCTCCCACGTGGGCTTGACATGCCACCTCTCTTTCACACGTGGGCAAGGGAGTGATTGCATTTGACTGGCTGCAAAGAGTGCAGTACTGGGTGAGTGCATTGGGTCACAATTTAAGTGTTTGGTAAAAATTGTGTCCCGGATACCCAGGGTTCTCTATTGTTAACTTAAAATATTTCCTTCAGGGCTTGAGCTTTTGCTGATTTTTCATGACTTATTTACAGCATACTGTGGAGCGCTTTGTATATTTTTAGAGTGCACTATAATAGTTAATTTGGTAATTCATGAATGCAGCTGTCACTGAGAAAACTGGGACCCAGAAAGGAGAACTGGATTTTCTTTGGATGAAATGAAATTCAAATCATTGCTGACTTAAATTCATCATCTCTCTCTTTTCTCATCCCCCTTCACCCTCACTTGTTTGTCTTCCTGTTGTCTTTATCTCACCACCAAGTCACCCAGAGGGCAGTCATCCTGGATACCCTCCCTTTCTCACCCACAACCAAGTCCTTTTGATTCTCTTTTCCATCTGCTTTTTATATCCCCTGCGTAATTTAGGGCCCCACCACTTCATCACATTATTATATTAAGTACCCTCCTTTCTGCCTTACTTAAGTACTTTCAATTCGAATTCTCCATCCTGCTGCCAGAGTGATTTTTCTAAAGCACAAATTTGTCATTTCCTTATTAAAATCTTTCAGTGGCTCCCAATCACTCAGAGCAGAATTTCTCAAGCCTGAGTGGATACCCAGGATTCTCCATTGTTAACTTAAAATATTTTTAGTATGTTAAATATATGCAAATATAAAACTATATATACACTCCTTATGTTGTATATCTTATACAACTATAACTCCCAGTTATAAGTTAAATGAAGCACAATTATGAAACAAATAAATTCAAATGAATACTTATTCATTGTTACCAATGAGACAGTTTTTGTTGGACCTGATATGCTCCAAAAGCAAATATTCACTGTCCTCCATAGCATAACTTCTTTACAAAAGCCCTGTCCGTATTGTACTTGTGTTGAGATTACTCAGTGCCTTCACCTCTTTTCTTTTTTTAAACCACGGCAAAGCCTGCCTTTGTTCAATGTGTCATGATTTCATTTGATCTTCACTTGTCAAACAACACGATTTACACAAAGTAGTCCCCATTTCTTTCTCATTAACCTATGCCAGTGACAAATGGTACCACTTGTTTGCCAGTGCAATGCTAAACACAAACATGTGAACTGAAATCTTATGACAGTATTCAATTATAAGGGGGTCATTCAGATAATCCGGAGTATCCTTTTTAAAAAAATGTTTTTGTTGTTGATTTTTATCAAGTTGTACAAATCCCTAGGGGTCTGAATAGGTGCCGTACAGGACAAAATCTGAATCCCTTAATGTGGTGTACAGGGCACTTCTGTCTGCATCTTGCCCACACTTTCAGCCTTATTTCCTTGTCCATCGTTCCTTAACATTTCCTCTTGTGGCTCTGACATGTTGCTCACTTAAGCCAATGGGCCTTTCAACTTTTCTTTGGAACTCCCTCCCTTTCCTTCTCGTGTCTGTTTTATCTTGTAACTCATCCCAGGTATCACACCTCCACTCACACTTTTCCTGACCCCTTCACTTCAGGTGTAGACTTGCTTCTTCTAACATGTTTGTCTGCATACATTGGTTGTAGCACTGTATTAGAATTATTGTTTGTTGGTCTTCCCAACACATTGTTTTTATGCTTTTTTTTTAATAGGCTCTACACCCAGTGTGGGCTTGAACTCAGGACCCCAAGATCAAGAGTTGCATGCTGTACTGAGTGCCCCCCAACATACTGTTTTTAGAGTAGTCCATTCGTTCATTCGACATACATATGCATTAACCACATTTTAGGCAGTATACAAAGGATGCATATGTATGTTGAATAAATTGACTGTTCTAAGGACATTGTATAGAATCCATTATTGGCAACTAAGTACTTTCAACATACATGCAGATTTAGTCTCCCTTTCTTCTTTAAATCAGTAGGAAACCAGTGTTCATAAGAAGAAATAACTTTTTAAAAACTTGAATCCCCAACAGTTCTACCTATAAGCAGATATTTTTTCCATTTGTTGAGGGTAAAATGGCATGCACAGATATCCCTAGTTTAGGACTTGAAAATGACTTCTCAATTTAAGACCTAGAACAAACATTGTTTTTTTGTTTCTTGTTTTTCTTTTCCAATCTGTGTCATGTGTTTTAATAGAATACTTAGCTATCTTTACCACGATGTTTTTTAATATATATTTTGTTAAATTTATTTTGTTAGTAATCTCTACACCCAATGTGGGGTCAAACTCATGATCCTAAGATCAAGAGTCACATACTCTACCAACTGAGCCAGCCAGGCACCCCATCATGATATTTAAAGACAAAGAGATATGAATTCAGAAGTTAATAAAATGCTTTTTGTTCATGTTCTTTGTTTAAAGAAGCATGGTAAAGCACTCAGGTTATTAAACTTGAACATTTGTTCAGAGATAAGTTGTTCAGAGACAAAACCACAAGAGGTCATTCATTCAGCATGTAATTATGTTCATGTACTTTGTGCTGGGAACTATTTTGGCATAGGGTATAGCAGTGAATGGGATAGACAAAGCCTCTACGTGTGGAGGGAGTTAGACGATAAATACATAGATTACAAAAATAAAATTTCAGGTAGTGATAAGGGCCGTGAAGAAGACAAAACAGGGTGATGTGCTTGGTAGAGTATGGTTGGAAGCCCTGCTTTATTTTAGCTAGAGTGGTCAGGGAAGGCCTCTTGCAGATTGGACTTCTGAGCTGAGACCTGAATGATGAGGATGGGTGAGTCTGCAAAGAATTGAGGTTAGAGTAGTCCAGGCAGAAAACGCTTGAATGCAAGGTTCCCAAAGCAATAACAACCTTGGCTTATTCTAAAACTGTCAGGCCAGTGTGACTCTATAGTGCATGTGAGGGAGATGAACTTGAAGAGGTAAGCCAGAACCAAGTTATATCAGGCATAAGGAATTTTGGATTTTATTCAAAGCCAAAGGAGGCTTTGAAGGAGGGTGACATGATCTAATTTGTGATATAATAAGATCTTTATGGCTATAGTGTGGAAAATGTACCGTGAGGAGATAAGAATGCAAGTGAACAGGCTGTTCACTTGGTCCAGGTAAGCGATGATAGTGTTTGGACTGGAGTGGTAGCAGGAGAAATGGAAAAAAGTGAACAGATTCAGGATATATCTTGGAAGTAGAGTTGATAAGACTCCTAATGTAGTGGATATTAACAATGAAGAAAATAAAAGATTCAAGTGAAATCATAATAAAGCAGAACCACAATAACCCTCTCCAAACTGCCCAGGACAAATGGAAAACAGGGAACTACTTATGATGTGGTGTCTATGAAACAATACCTAGATTTTATTAAATGTACATATCAGCTTTTTACACACTGATGCTAAAGAATGTTAGGTTCTGTTCTGTGGTTAGGAATGTGGGAAGAAGGAAGTAAAATCAGGTCCCAGAAGGGGCAGGGGTCAGAGCATGTGGGACCACGATAGTGTGATGGAAAAATCACTAGTGATAGGCTAACATTTCCTTTAACAACAAGAGTGAAATAGGCCAGTTAGCAGGTAGCTGGTGTACTTTAGGTGAGAATCACTTTTGGAAATTTATTTTGAAATTACTGAGGCTTTTGACCATGTCATGTTCTCATGTTTCCTTTTCACTGTATATTTTCACATTTTGTTTAAACATGAAGTACATTCATGCATATACAAAATCCAGAAAGATTAGGCTTAAAGATTGATAGTAATGATTATAAGCTATTCTTATTTTAAAATTATTTTATTTAAAGACATGTATAGATAACATAGCATAATGTATAAAAAATATAAAATGAATGCACATGTATTTATCATCAACTTAAAAAAAACAAACCCAGAAGAGGGGTGCCTGGGTGGCTCCGTCAGTAAAGCATCTGACTCTTGACCTCAGCTCAGATCTCCATCTCACGGTCATGATTTATACCCTGACGTGGAGCCTACTTAAAAAACAAAACAAAACTTTAGAGCATTACCTGCAACTTTGACATCTCCTAGGTGCCTCTCCTGGTTCCCAGATCCCTCTTTCCTCTTTATATAAATAAAATATTATTAACTTATAAGTGTTTTTGAACATATATAAATTGAATCATACAATATATGTGTACTCTTCTACAGTTTGTCTATTTTTTCTTTTCTTTTTTTTTTTTAAAGATTTTATTTCTCAAATTCCTGGGTTGCTCAGTCTGTTAAGCGTCCGACTCTTGATTTCAGCTCAGGTCATGGTCTTATGGTTGTGAGGTCGAGCCCACGTCAGGCTCCACACTGGGTATGGAACCTGCTTAAGATTCCTTCTCTCTCTCTCTCTCTCTCTCTCTCTCTCTCT